CGAAAGAGTTGTTCTACATTTCTACCGCTACATCTACGTCTTCATTTCCCAGTGCAGTGAGGCGATATACGAATGCATTTTTATCTAACGACAATGTGTTTGATACTGATAACGCGTTGAATTCCAACAACAGCAACTCAGAAACAGACAAAGAGAACGCCCACGAAAGTCACTTTTGCGCAGTATATAATAGAGATATGTATACGTACATACGTTATACAAGGGCAACCTATAAGAGTATTAGTATTTAGTAATTATCAGACCCACGTGGCAGGTGCATGTGTTGTTTACCGATGCTTACCAACTGATATCTTAGTAAAGACGGTTGAAAAGTCTTACCTTTATCTGTGAAAATCATCCTGGGTAAATACTGGGTGGATTTCGCCATGACACCCATCAGGAAAGATAAAAATATGGAGAGGGTGAGATGCAAGTGTTCCATGTTCGACTTGCTGTTCAAATTGAGAGTAAAGACGAAGTGACGCCGCCAGGCTTTTTTTTTTTTGTACCGCCTTGTTGGGCTGTATCCAATTAAGCGCCTCCATTAAATGAATTGATGAAATGAATGATTTACAATGTTGTTTAATGTGATTATTATATTCATATACAATAACAGCGACATCATTAATAATAATAATAATAATTAGAATTTATCTTTTTGCATATGTAATATATCACAGTAAAACAAATTACTGTCGGTTGATGATTTATGTATATTTACTATATTCTTATAAAGAAATATGCAGTATAATAAAAGTTGTTGGATAAATACTATGACACGAACTGCAACCCATAATAAATTGGTATCTTAAGACGTTATTTATATTCTCCTTAAAATCCGGCAAATACAATCACTGTGTCGAATGACATCAACTAGTAGTTGAACAGAAACAGTACAAGTATGAAGTTTGAAGTTTAAATTCATTAAAGTCTTTAAAAAATTTTCCTAATTACACCATTTAACAAAAAACGACTACTTAACAATATTCATCCGCTCAACTCTTTACCAACTTCTGACTGTCATATAATTTTAAATGGTAATGATGTCTCATTCGGCACTAGCGCCCCCCGGTGATCACTAAAGTTTTTCTAAATGTGATTCTAATTTTTGGATAGTAGTATCTCGGTTTTGTTTTTTTTATTTACTGCAATAATTTGTTTTGGTTGAACAGCTGTTTTTCTTTTTTTATTTACTGCAATAATTTGTTTTAATTCATTTTTCTTCCACTAGGTGGCAGCAGATGGCAATACAACTTGTTAAAGAGGCTCAGCAGAGCTGTACCAGAAGATCAACCAGCAGGCATCGAGGGACACACACCCTCGATGCCTGCTGGTAAATCAGCGTCGGGTTCACAGACCACGTCCAGGTTCCACGTCGAGTGAGTAAAGTGTGATTTGTGATGTGGATTTTGGTCAAGGTTTCGTTGTTGTGGTGCACCATGGGATTTTTCCAATGTAAAATGTGTCTTGTGGTCCAGAAATGTTGGGAAACACTGATGTCACAAGTTGCTTGTGTACGAAATAAGTTACTGTTACCACAGTTTGCAAACCAGCCAAAACAATAAACAAAACTTTAGGTCAAGTCACGAAAATGCCACGGAAAAAAATAAATCATAGACCACAGTGTACAGTTTAATTCAGTCTTTTACTCTTTAATCTGGCGCTTTATTGGAAGTTTGAGCTAATGAAAAGAAACATGTTTTGTGTTTAGACGGATCTGTGTTTTAGTTGTTTGCTGGGAAAACAAACTACGAAGATACTTTTTAAATCTAAACAATTTAAAAACCATATATATATATATATATATAAATGCATATACACAATATATATACATATATAGAAAAAGCAGATATTTACTGGCCTGCCTGCGGTCCGGGTCAGTCTCCCATTGATGTTGTGGGGAAAAATAGAAGAAAATAATTAGGAAAAAATGAATAAAACCAAAATATAATTAACATTTACAGTTAATAAATTTGACTCATCTTTGTTAACGTATGTTGTGGGTTTTAATTACCAAATGTTAAACACATGTAATTAAGGCTGCTCAGTTAAAACAAAGAAAATGTTGTTGTTGTTGTTGTTTTTTTGTTTTTTTTGCCCTTTTGTGTGAATGGTTCAAATGAGGGCCATCTAAACTATAAACAGAACCAACAGAATGACCGTTACATCGATAGGTGTTTGAAAAGTGGACGAGTGACTCACTCTTTTGTTCACGTAACCTTGCAGTGAAGGTGTGGGCGGAGGAGCCACGACAGTGATGTGTGTATGAGACCAACACTCTGAGTGTCATCACCAAATGTATTTCACCTCACTGAATGTTACGGCGCACATGTTTTAGACATCGTGAATGAAACTAATGGTGCTTTATTTTCTTTCTTTTTTTCACTAATACTGTTATAGGAACACAGCAGAGTGAGGCTTCGTTACGTTGTTAGACAAAGAGAACATGTTCCTCTGTCAGTAATCACTGATCACTACTGAAGCGTGTCAGGTTTGCCAGAGTGGAGTAAAAGATGATGTTGTTGCAGCGTTCATAAACACAGGCTTCAACACCTGGAAAGGAGGAAATTGCCTTCTGCTCCGTCACATGACCCTCAGACTGTTGTGATTTTTACTCTACTTTACATATTTATATATTCATTTGCATTGTCTGGATGCATCTGGGATGAGTGAAGGATATAAAGATTTTTTTTTATAAATTGATTCAGTTTTTATCAATCCTCACAAAATGTGTATTTTTGTGGGAAAAAAGTCCTACTATGTCATGACAGATTTTGTTAGTATATACTTTGTAGCCTTTTTTTTTAATGTGTTTTTTTTGTATATGTATGTGTAGGACATATAGGCTGAGGTGTCAAATATTCATGGAACGGCTGAGATATAGTCAAAAATGATGGGGTTTTGTCAACAGTGTTAAAGGATGAGCTATAAAAAATCTCACCAGAGGCTCAGAGTGTGTGTGTGTGTGTGTGTGTGTGTGGCTGAACGCGGGCTCAGTCGGCAGATGAAGCTATTGGCTGAAAGGCTTCATGTCCCTGCGTACTGCTGAGGACTGCTGTGCTCATAAACTGCCTTCAGACTGACTCCACTCTCACATCCAACTGTGTGGGGCCATGTCGCAGTACACGCTGGGAGGTAGGAGCACGTCTACGTTCTTCTGCTCTAGTCGTTTGTATTTTTTTATATTCTATTTTTTACATAGCTTGATTCCTTACAGTTTATTACTTATTAAAGATGTGTGATACATCCAGTGGGTGACTTTGGCAGCTGGACAGGAGCAGGAACAGGCAGTTAAACCTGGACGCTCTCTGACACCTGAGGATTTAATTAACAGCAAAGTGAAGCCTCATCCATTCATGTTTGTTTTTAGATAACTTTGTATGAACAAAGATTATTATTTTTTGACACCCATAAAATCTCTAGACCAGGATGAGCTTTATACATTTATCTTGTCATCACTAAAAAAACAAAATTTTAATTATTCTGTGTTAATGATGTGATGCAGTTTATCAGCAGCCTGTGAGAAAAAAAGAACAAAAACAAAAACTGAATTCTTCGTATTTCCTTGTTTCCCCGGGATCGTCACTGTCTGGCTGCTCAGTCTGACTCATGTTTTGGAGGAAACCCCTCAGCTGTTCCTTTCTGTTCTGCTGCAGCATTCAGCTGATCTCTGTGCTTTCATCTCCTAATGGAGGCTGCGTGCTGCTGATTCTGCACATGTACTTAAGGAGAAACACTTTCCAAACCTCACAACGATTTAATTACAATGACTTATTCTTGTCAGAAGACATTTTCAACCCTGTGTTTGTCTGCGTGTGTGCATTAGTTTTCGTGTTCTTTTAGAAGTAATAACAGTTTATGAACGATGGCTGTTTATAGCAGCAGCAGTTTTAATGTTACTATAAAATTGTTTTTTGTTTTTTTTCTGAGTAAGTGATTTTCCTCTGCGTTGTTTGCCTTGCAAAGGTCGCTGGCTGAAGCTCACAGCTTTGCAACCTTGTTTTCACCATTATCCTCCAGTGTGTCTGATGCATGAGTCATCTGAATACACCCTCATTATCTGGGAATATATGACCACCGGGGTCCAGCGTTCACAGCCTGCTCTCACTTACCACTGGATGTGTAATGCACCTGGTTTCCTCACACCTACGACTCGTGTTCGGATTTTGACTTTTGATGTTGATGTTGTTTTTGGTGTGTGGTTTGTTTTTGTTTTTTTGTTTTTTTGGTGGTGGTGGTGGTGGGGGGGGGTAAATCGAGCACATTGGAAATTATTAACATTGACAATTTTTTTGACATTGTGAAAAGAGCCTCCCATATATGGGAATAACAATATGTGAGAATAATGTGAAATTTAAAAACTTTTAATCGTGACCTTTTTTCATACATTGATATTAAAAATTGTTGTTGATATTTAGTAAATTAGCAATAATTAATGGATGTTCTCGCTCTTTCAGTCCAATCCAAGCTAATCTAATGTAGCCTAGCCTAGCCTTAAATTGCCGAATTGAATTGAATCGAATCGTCCTCACATGTGCCTAAATCAGGTACAAACACACACACTTCTTTTTGCATTTTGTGAGACATACTTTATTCCTTAACAATTCCTAAACCCTGACTGAGGGGGAAACGTCCCCACAAAGAAAAATGTCTCCTCAACAATAGTGTTGTTTTTTTCTTTGTCCTCACAAGTATACCTATACAGCAGGTACACACACACACACACACACCAAATAAACACAGCAATGACAATATCATTAATGAGTTGCCAATTTCCTCTCTAACTGAGTCAAGGTCGGAGGAGATAATGTTTACTCAGATTCCCCCGCGGTGACAGATTACAGTGTCAGGTATCGCTCCCAAACAAAAACACTGTCTGTGATCAATGTGGAACAGCATCAGAGACTGGGAAATATGATTACAGAAGTCTAAGACAAATTCAAGTTTTGAAAATCAATCTTTGGAGTCAGGAGACGTTTAATAAAAGACAAAATGTTCTTTTTAACCAGAAAGATGATTTGGTTTGTAGAATGATTGAATAAATAAAGTTTCCGTGATGGTTTTAAACCACATGAAAATGAGAAAGACAAAAGTCATTCTCTGGTGTCAGCGTTATGACTTGAAGGTCGTATTTGGAGTTGAAAAATTTGAAAAGTTGAAAAAGCCTCAAATCCTCTTTCAAGTTTCAAATCCTGACTGTGTTTTTTTTTCTTCTCTCTGTGTCTCTGCTCTAGTCCACCTGCAGATCCTGCTGGCCGTGGGCCTGGCAGTCTTCTGCTACTGTCTGGTTCTTGGTTGTATCCTCTGCTGTCGTCGGAGGAAGGGCGTTAAATCCGACGACAAGGAGGCCGCTTCAGTCTCTCCCTCTCGTCCGACGTCCGAGAGCGTGACCGTGGCGTTGACTCTGTCCGCGTGCACACAGCCCGTGAAGCAACAGTACGAAGAGCTCGACGGAGACGTGTTGGAGTTCCCTTCGTCTAAAAGCAGCTCCTCTCCCTCAGAGGATGACCTCACTTCTCTGCCCTTTGACCCCACCTCTACTGGGTCGGCCGAGCTCGTACAGCCCCCGGGCTCGTCCTTTCCCCTGCGACGCCTCAGTTCCCCAGCTGTTCCCGTGTCCCTCAGTAAACCTCAGAGTCACGGCAGAGCCTCCTTGCCCTCCATCACTAAGATGAGTCTCGTGTCCAAATCCCGTCGGTCCACGGGTCGTCGCAGCACCGTGAGCACTGAAAGTTTCCTGTACGGGGAGAACAGTCGACTGACAGCGGCGGGCCGTCAGGACCAGCCATGTGACTCACAGTATGGCGCCAACGCTCCCTCCATCCACCCGAAGGCCACTCCTCTGCTGCACTTCTCCCTGCTCTTCTCCTCCGTCTATGGCACCCTGGTGGTCAACATCCTGGGGCTCTTTGGGGCCAGTCGAAGACGCAGCGGGGTGTCTGTCAGAGTCAGCCTCCCGCCTCTCTGCCCCACCCCTCAGCAGATCGCCTCTCGACGCCGCAGCTTCAGCCCGGACCTCCAGAGCCAGAGCTTTGTGCTGCAGGTGGGCTCCGCGGAGGAACTGCGCCGGTGCACGCTGAGACTGGCCGTCTTCAGCAGGGAGTTCTCGGGCCTCAGAGAGGCCGCTCTGGGGGAGGTGGAGCTGCCGTGTGAGCAGATGGACTGGCAGCCCGACGTCACCACCACGTACACCAGGCAGCTCAGTCCGACCAAAACCAAACTGAAAAAGGTACAAGTGTGAGTTTGAGGTTTACCAACAAAGGTTTTATTATCAACTCAAACACAAGGAAACAATTAAACAAAAAGACAGTTGGCAGTGTGTGCATATGCTAACATGTGTATTGACTGTATATTAGAGCAGCGATAATTGGAGGGAGGTTGAAATATTTGGACATTGTTAAAATACGATGCAGTTCTATCGGATTAATTTCTTAAATTAACGCATTCATTTTGATTTGTTTTTGCAGAAAGGGATGAAATCAGTTTTGACATTTTGTTGTGATAGAAGGAAACTTTGATGAGTCAGAACAGATGTTCACAGAACATTTCTTCACATAACACCTAGACAATTCAGTTGATTACAATTAGGGCCGCACAGTGGAGAAGTGGTCGGAGCTCTTGCCTTACAGCCAGTAAATAATCATTTTGTTGTCAGTCACTGCTAAGACTGACTCCAGGCCCCTCCCCTGAGCCGTTCTCTAAGAGGTGGGAAGACGAATGATCGACAATTAGATTAGATTTGAGTTGAAGTGAAGTGAGCTCAGATGATCTGAGATGTTCAATCCCTCAGATGATTCAGAAATCTATTTATCGTCCCTTTAAGTGCTCGTGTCCACTGAAGGACCTTTCAGATTCAGTGAATCTGATGTGGTGAATCACTGACGTCCTCTTTGATTTCGTTTCTCGTGTCTTTGAAGATCTTCTGCTCACATTTTTACATCCTTC